GAGAAGCAGGAGCCCCACAATGAGCCCGATGCAGGACTCGAACCCAGGACCTTGGGATCACGCCCCAAGCCGAAGGCAGATGCTCAACCACTGAGCCACCCAGGAGTTCTGAAAAAGGGACATTTTCTAAATGGAGTCATAGGCTTCCCAAAACGAAATACACTGCTGCCATAATTTCTCATGCTATCCTTTCCTACCCGCCCCTGCTCCAATCTACATAAATGCTTTTCTGAATACAGTGATTCTGAAAGAGACTTCCTGTGTCTTGCCAATCCGGCTCATCTCATTTCTTGCCACTTCTCCCTTCCTTTACAACCAGAAACTTCAAAATCCAGAAATATCCAACTGCCAGAGTTCAGTAAAAACATTGTGCTGCTTCAGGTGTCTGCATCCCCGCATATGTTGTATTCCTGTGGCCTGAAAATAGGCCTCCTCTTCTCCCCTTGGCAAATTTCTATTTATCTTTTAAAATGTAATTTAGACCTCACCTATTCAAAAAAGTCAATCATGAGATGCCCTAAATAGATCAATAACTTCATTTTGAACATTGTGTATGTTACATTTAGTACCATGTGTTGCTTTATGAATATGCATCTGCCTCATCTAATACATGATGATGACCTTGAGGGCCCATTCATCTCTTTCCCAGCACTCAGCAAAGTACAGGAAACACAGGAGTTGCTCAATGAATGTTTGCTGGATGAAAGGATGTTGAAAAATAAAGAACAGAATATGATGAAAAGGGGGGATCCCTGGGTGGCGCAGCGGTTTGGCGCCTGCCTTTGGCCCAGGGCGCGATCCTGGAGACCCGGGATCAAATCCCACGTCAGGCTCCCGGTGCATGGAGCCTGCTTCTCCCTCTGCCTGTTTCTCTGCCTCTCTCTCTCTCTCTCTCTCTCTCTCTCTCTGTGACTATCATAAATAAATAAAAAAAAAATTTAAAAAAAAAAGAATATGATGAAAAGGGACTAGATGTTTAGTCAGGAAACAAAAAGAGAAAAGATAAGAAGAAATGGAGGACAAGGATAAAAACAATTTAAAAACCTATTGGGACCAACTTGGATATTTCTTATCCCAAAAGCTGTACCTCTACTTGGTTCCGTCCAAGGCAGGAATTATTCTTAGTGAATTTCACAGGTTGACTTTTAGTTCCTAAATCTAAAGTACTTTGAGGAAAACAACTGAACACACTATCATGTTACCACATTTCCTAAAGCCATGACTCTAGCTCAAGGTACCATCCTCACATGGTTGGCCTATTCCAACAGACTCCCAGTTAGTCTCCCAGCTTTTACCCTTTTACCCTCTTACAGAAAATCCAGATGTGATTATCCTGCCTCCCTGCTTAAAATATTCAATCAAGGCTTCCCACTGTTCTTAGTATAAAGAACAAAATGAGTAGCATGACGAAAAGGAGCTTGATAGGCCAGCCCAACTCTTTAGCCTCATCCAACACCACACTTCCCTTCAAATGTACCACCCTCTGTTTGGAACATTCTTCTCCTGTGCCTAGGTAGTTCATTCCCTCTTGAAGGTCACAAATCAATGGTTACTTTGTCCAATAAGACCTTCCTGACCTCTAGGAAAAATCTCCCCACCTACAGAATCCTTTAGCCCATCTTATCCCACTGCATCACAGTAACAAAAATACTGTATAGCTTTTTGTGGTAAAATTAGTATCTGTCTCCCCTCAACTAGATTATGAATTTCATTAGGGCAGGGATGGTTTCTATTCTGATTACTCACTTTCTAGTGCCAATGGAGTATCAGATCCATACCAAAAACATCTTAAATATTTGTTGAGGAAACAAATGAAAACACACATTAAAATTAAGAATCATGGGATATATCCTTAATCTCCCTTAAACCAAAAGCTACCATTGTGTTTATGATCAAATTCATTAAAGCATTCTCATTAATAACAGGAACATGACAGGCACACTTATTACTACTACTATTATTCAAAATTATTCTGGTAGTATCACCCAATGTAAGTAGTAAAGCAAGAAATACGAGATCTAAATTTAGAAAACCTGAGGCAAAATGATCATTTTTAGAACTGGAAAACCCAAGACAGCCAACTGAAAAACTACTAAAAACATAAGAAAATTCAAAAAGGAAGTTGAGTTCAAATTAATATGTAGAAATCAATATTTTTCATATTTATGAACAAGAATAGTTGGAATACTAAAAAAGAAAAAGAAAGGCCTCCATGTATACCAACAACAGTAAAGATAAAAGGACTTTGGAATAAACTGTACAAGGAATGCTTAGGATATACAAGAAGAAAACTTGAAAATCCTAGTAAGAGATATAAAAGATATCAAAAATGAGTAAATCTTACTCTTAGACTTGGTCTTGTAAATATACCAATTTTCTATAAATTAATCCATGAACCCAGTGTAATCTCAATCAAGATATTAATAGAATGTTTTGCAAGAAACATGATAAAATGACTCTCATGTCTATTTAGAACAATAAACAAGCAAAAGTAAAACCGGAAAATTCTGAGAGGGGAAAAAAGACCAATGAAAGACTATCTACCTTTCCCAGGTAGGATAGACAGGAAAATAAAGCAACAGAAAGTAGAAATGTCCTACTTAAGGAAAAATCAACAAGGAGATATCAATAGAAGAGTATGGAGAGCTCAGAATAGACCCAAATACACATGGGAATTGAGTGTATGAAATTAAAAGAGTCCCAGGTCCCCAGGATCATCCCCTGGGCCAAAGGAGGCTCTAAACTGCTGAGCCACCAGGGCTGCCCGCTAGATTGATTTAAAGAAAAAGTAATCTAGATCTTTACCCTCCTTCCCTCCACCATAATAAATCCTAAATGACTCAAAAATTTAATTTTAAAAAATGAAATCATTAAGCAAAAGAAAAATGTGTAAATCTTTTTTTAAATTTTATAATCTTGGAGAGACAAACAGGACATAAAAGTCAGAAGTCATAAAAAGTAAGACTGACAAATTCAGTGAGAGAAGAATTCAAAATTTCTATATTTCAAAAAGTACTATAAACAAAATGAATAAAGAAGAAATGACAAATTGGCCACAAATATTTGCAAGATATATATTTCCCCATATATACTCACACTCTGTAAAATATAAGAGCAGGAGTATAAATGTGGGTATGGGTATATGAGGGAGTATGTTTTCTCTCTGATTTATTCCCAGGCCTAGACTAGTACTTAGTACATAGTAGATAGTCAATAAATATTTGTTGAATAAGTGAATAAGCATTTGACACTAATACATATCAATTAGAAAAGATCAATGCCTATCAGTGCCCAGCAAATCCTAAGTACTCAACAAATATCCACCAAAGGAATGAATCCAATAAAAACATGTCCAAAGGATAGGAAGAAACAATTACTGGAACAAAAAAACAAAAACAAAAATAAATGGCCAGGAAACATTATTAAAATGCTCAAACTAAGGAGAACCTGGATGGCTCAATGGTTGAGGATTCACCTTTGGCTCAAATGGTAACCCCAGGATTCTGGGATCAAGTTCCACATCACACTCTTCTCATGCAGCCTGCTTCTCCCTCTGCCTATGTCTCTGCCTCTCTCTCTCTCTCATGAATAAATAAATAAAATCTTTAATAATAATAATAATAATAAAATGCTCAAACTCATAACTTGGAATTTTTAAAAAATGAAAGAAAGAAAATTAAAACCCTTATGCCATTTTTTAACTATCAGACTAGGAAAAAAAATATAAAGATAGTGTTGACAAGAGTATTAATAAATAGGTTCCTATACTGTTAATGGAAGATTTAACTTTGGTGAAAAACCTGGCAACATCAATCAAAATTTAAAATACACAAACTCTTTGACCCAGTAATTCCATTTCTTAGAATTTCTCTTAACACAAACTCTTTGACCCAGTAATTCCATTTCTTAGAATTTCTCTTACTGGGATGCCTGGGGGTGACTCAGCAGTGAGCATCTGCCTTTGGGGGGGGATGGGGGGATGGGGGGATCCTGGAGTTCCAGGATCTAGTCCCACATCAGGCTCTCTCCAGGGAGCCTGCTTCTCCCTCTGCCTGTGTCTCTGCCTTTCTCTCTGTGTCTCTCATGAATAAAAATAAATTTAAAAAAAAAAAAAAGAATTCTCTTACTGATAAATTCATGTATACTGTACATACATGAAAAGATCTATGTCCCAGAATATTCAGGGTAGCCTTTCTATAATAGCAGAAGTCTGTCCAGTTAATGGAATGCTTTATAATAATTAAAAAGTATAAAATAAATCTTTTCTATATCAAGACACATTAAACTACATTAAGTGAAAAAATAAGTTGCAAAAACCAATCCCATTTTTGTTTTTAAAAGTGTGCATATGCAAATACACATTAAAATCTTTTTAAAACATTTAGACATGGTCTTACTAGGAAATACAAAAGTTAAGAAGAAAAGGCGGACAAGTGTATTCATTTCATTAAAAAATTTTAAGGGGAAAAAAGCAAAGACAATGAAAATAAAGGAACGAGGAATAAAGTTACATAGAAGATTTTTTTAAACAGAGAAGTGGTAAGAAAACCTGATGGCCCTAGGAATCCAGAGTTATGATTCGTATCCTTATTTCCAAAAAGGATTCTGTGATAGTTTATGATACAAACACATGGACTGTAAGTGCTAAGAAGAGAGTGGGTCCTTCATGTTCACCATGTATTCCCAGTGCCTACTAGACAGTAATGACTAAGTAAGTATGTGACAAACTAAAACTACAAGTGAGAATGGAAACCATACAGAAACAGGGAAGGCTTGAAAAGGATGATGATTATTACTAGGTGCCAAAATCTAGTTCTGATTTCCTAGCAGCCTCAGTAAAAAGAAAAACTTGGTATCACAAGCCAATAATCTTCCAACAAGTACACAGGCTACCCCCCACTGTGGAAGGTGGTGCCAGAAGCACGCCCCCCCCCAACCAGAGGTATTTACATACTCTACCACAGGTGCTATAACCCTGGTCAGGGGAGGAGGAGGAGGGCACCAAGCGAACGGGTGGAGGTGGATCCGTAAAGAAACCAGCCGGCTAGGAGAGGGAGGGGAGGAGCCCAGCTGTGAAGTGTGTGTTCCCAAGAACCATGTCTACGTGGGAGTCCTTTAACCCGGAAAGTTATGAATTGGACAAGAGCTTCCGGCTAACCAGATTCACTGAACTGAAGGGCACCGGCTGCAAAGTGCCCCAAGATGTCCTGCAGAAATTGCTGGAATCCTTACAAGAGAATCACTTCCAAGAAGATGAGCAGTTTCTGGGAGCAGTTATGCCAAGGCTTGGCATTGGAATGGATACTTGCGTCATTCCTTTGAGGCATGGCGGTCTTTCTTTGGTTCAAACCACGGATTACATTTACCCCATCGTTGATGACCCTTACATGATGGGCAGGATAGCATGTGCCAATGTCCTCAGTGACCTCTACGCCATGGGGGTCACGGAATGTGACAAAATGCTGATGCTCCTTGGGATCAGTAATAAAATGACTGACAGGGAGAGGGATAAAGTGATGCCCCTAATTATACAGGGTTTTAAAGATGCAGCAGAGGAGGCAGGAACGTCTGTGACTCGTGGCCAAACGGTGTTAAACCCCTGGATTGTTCTAGGAGGAGTGGCTACGACTGTCTGCCAGCCCAATGAATTCATCATGCCAGATAACGCAGTCCCGGGGGATGTGCTGGTGCTGACGAAGCCCCTGGGGACGCAGGTGGCTGTGGCTGTGCACCAGTGGCTGGACATTCCTGAAAAATGGAATAAGATCAAGCTAGTGGTCACCCAAGAAGATGTAGAGTTGGCGTATCAGGAGGCGATGATGAACATGGCCAGGCTCAACAGAACAGCTGCGGGACTCATGCACACGTTCAATGCCCACGCCGCCACCGACATCACGGGCTTTGGGATTTTGGGGCACGCACAGAACCTAGCCAAGCAGCAGAGGAACGAGGTGTCCTTCGTGATTCACAACCTCCCTGTCCTGGCCAAGATGGCTGCTGTGAGCAAGGCCTGTGGAAACATGTTTAGCCTCATGCATGGGACCTGCCCAGAGACATCAGGAGGCCTCCTCATCTGTTTACCACGAGAGCAAGCCGCCTGGTTCTGTGCAGAGATCAAGTCTCCCAAATATGGGGAGGGCCACCAGGCATGGATTATTGGGATCATGGAGAAAGGCAACCGCACCGCCAGAATCATAGACAAGCCCCGGATCATCGAAGTTGCACTGCAGGTGGCCACTCAGAACGTGAACCCCACCCCGGGTGCCACCTCTTAATCTAGACCCAAGTAGCTATCTGGTTTTGTTTTTAAATAGAGCTATTTCTTTTTTCATCATTTCAATTAAAGACGATACACGACAACAAAAATCTCATTGTGTCTACACATCTGGTGACCTTAGGTCGATTTGTGAGTGGATGCAATTAATAAAATAAAATCCATTGCCTTTTTTTCCTGTTACATTAACTGAAGATGCACCTAATCTTGAGGCAGCTTCTGAGTTGAGAATTATATTGTTATCCAATACTGTTGATTCATTTTGAATCTTTAGACACTTATCTCTTGCCGCGTAGGCTCTTTCTAAAGGTGCTCCCCCGTGGTACAGACATTACCGGTCGTGGTGTCAGAGAGCAGTTGGTGTCTGTTCATTTCGTGCGTATTTATCATTATCAGTCTGGTCTTTTTTTAAGTGTCTTGGATGATATTCTGGAAAGATGGAAGTGGTAAGTGACACAGTGATATCCCCATAGTGAGAGGGTCAATGGTTCCTTCCAGCCTTTGCTTTGTAAAGCCCAGTCTTCTCAATTCGAGAGCATCTCTTCTGACCCAGGACACTTTCCCAGGAGAGCATTCAGTTAAACAAGGCAAGTGCTTAACTCTGCATGGAAAGCACTTGGAAGACAAAAAAGAAATTTAATTTCTTTTTTGGTAGGCTTCCTAATATTTACAATAATACCATTTAACTGTTTCCTTTATCGACAGCAAGAAAGGATACTTTTTGCCATGTAATTAGATGTTCTATAGTAAGACAAAGAATTGGCCTTCCGGAAGGGGGTTCATGTATGATACTCATTTACAATTCAATATATAATTAACTACACAAATAATTTTTAAATATAATCAATAATAAAGACTGTTCTGTGGATGGTAGTGTTTAATACATTTTATATTTTATATAGTGATTTCAGGCCTTTTGCTTTCTTAAAATCAGCAGTTATTTAGCTGAATTTTTAGCATTATTTTGTCCTTGGCGCCAGTACTTTGTGCACGCTTTTTGTGATCTGTGTTAAAAATCCGCATTGCCAACATCACAGCTCGAACTTAAACTTGCTATTCAAATAAATACTTAATTTTTTTTATTGCTCTTGTATAATCAGATGCCCCCTTTAGTATTATTTTAGAAGCATTGGGAGGGTTCTGGCTAAAAGTACAATTTATTGGGGAAAACTAGATTTTAGTTTTATAAAACTTTTAAGTCTTTCATGGGACCTATATTTTCTTGAATTAAATTTTGTAGTTCTAGAACAAATAGGCGATCTGAAAAGGTGTTTATCCGTGTTACTTAAGAACAGAGGCTTCCTTCTGTTGTAACCCACAAAAGCGAGAGGGACTGTGGTCATTAAGCACAAGTGCTGACTCCTTGAGTGTCCGCCTGAGAGAAACAGCACCCGGCCCACGAGCCTCCCAATGCCTCCTGCCTCCAGGCACCAAAGCCTGGACATCAGAGCCTGCCTGTCCTCCCCAAAGGAAGCGCCCCTTGGAGATGAAGCCCCAGAAGAGGCTCGGCTTGGATGCACCCTCCACGAGGAGCCAGAGGGCAGCCTTTCTGCAAGTGGGATTGGAACTCAAGCCATAAGTACGCTGTGCGGGACCCGACAGGCTGCTACGGAACTGACAGTAATTGGACATTTTATAGGGATTTATACACATGTTGGTCCTCAAAAGCGACAAACCAGTGCTCTACAAAATAAAATGTGTTGGAAACCTCTGAAAAAAAAAAAAAAAAAAAAAAAAAAACCCTGGTCAAAGACCTGGGTGCACTTCAGACACCACTGAGACCACCTAGTACTCCGATGATGGTTCACCACTTTTCTCCAACATTGGTGAAAAGAAGGGGTGCAAGACTGTGAGCCTCCTACTATCCTTCGCTAAGTTGCTTCTAACTATTAAAGCCAGGAATATATAAAAGCTAGAACATCAAAGATAAATGAGCTGGAAAAGGGAATTTCAGATTCAAAAACTAGTCAACTTTTAATTCCCTACATTAAGGAAGTATTAATGCAAATAACTGAAATTGAGGAGAATAATTATTTACAAATCACCCTACAAATTCAGTTTAGGCTACTACTTTATTCCCAGATTGCATCTGGTTGAGCTAGAATGGGAATCCCTCAAGAAAGAAAAAAAAAAAAAAACAGTGTCTTCAGATGATGACATGTAGTTAGGTTAAACTCTCCTACCCATTTTTAGTAATGTTTATTTGTCAAAAGGATTTGATCAAACATTTGTTTCAATGCAATATCTAAGTGCTTGCTAGTACCTTTCAACCCCAGCGTAGGTAAACCACAGATTTGCATAAAAGCTACTAGAAGTAAAAGTTATACTAGTCAAATTAGAGTTAAACTTAAAAAAAAAAAAGTGTGGACAAAGAGGGACACACCTCTTAGAATATTAGAAATATGTACAAAGAAATCTTTTTAGCAATACAACCAAGAATAACTATGCTATGTGAGAGACTTTAACACTGTGTCCCTTGAGTAATCTCTCTGTGAACACAAGAGAACTACATAACTTCTTTGCTTCCATTATTATTTTGCAAAATAGGAGCAATTCTTCATTATGTAGACATCTCTCCCTGTATGCTCAGAGAGAAAAGGTTTTGATTACTTTTACTATTTATATTATTTCAGACAAAAGTGATCATCATTTCTGGGTTTTGTTCCTAAACCTTTGTAGAAGAGACAAAAAAAAAAAAATCACAAGCGTCAGTGAAAAGTACACATTATTATTACTGATCTCCTGATGGGCTTGTTTCCCCAACAGTTTGAATACTATGATTCCATTTTCTTCAGGAAACTGAAACAAACAGTAATCTTTCCAGATCAAACTTCCACCAAGCAGTTTTAGTACAACATTTATCATACCTAGCAAAACCACCAGAGGACAACTCCATCTGCTACAACAAAACAGAGAAAGATAAAGGTCTCCAAACACTTAATAGCACTTTCCAAAAAAAGGGCCATAAACCTAACACCACTGAAAGAGAAATGCAATCTGCACTTTGCAGACCTAGACAGGAATTGCTTCAATACTATCTTTTTCCCTCTTCCTCACCATAAAAACTACCCACCCCTAGTTGTGATGTACAGATCTACATCCCAAGAGTCTTAGGAGATTAGGAACCCACAAGTGCCAACAAAGACAGGAAACAAGAACTTCTTTCCCACACAAGCTTTATCGCCATTTCATTTCAATTAATTATGTATTGAGTGAACACTGAAAAGAAAAGCAAAAAGTATGCCCACTCAGAAGCACAACCAAGACAAAGTACAACTCAAACTAGACATATGATAACACAATCACCCCTATCAAACCAAGGTTAGATGTGGAACACCTTAAGAGAAAGAATATGAGAATGATCCCACCCATTTGTTTTAAATCATTACTAGGAAAGAATAATTAAAGGGCCCATCAAAAAGCAAACAACATATCAAAGACATGGGTTCACATAGGAACATATGGACTTAAAAAAGAGTCTACCAAAGCTGTGGCTTGGGGTCCGGGGAAAAAAATTTACTAAGTGCCTTCCTTGGGACCAATTTAAAAAAGAATGGAAAGGAAGGAACTTACTTTAAGGAATTTCAGTGGGAAATGCAGGGGAAAAAACAAACAGAAGCAGTTGGATAAATTTTTCATCCTAAACTCTATTTCGAATCCTTTTACACTGATTTTTTTAGTTTTTAAGATTACAATTAAAAGTCAGCAGGAAAAAGTAAAATAATGCAAAGAAAATTAAATATTGATGACTCAAAAGATGAGGGGGTTAGGAAGGGTATTTTTTTCTCCCTTCAAAAAGGTTTGCATGAAAAATTATAAATAGATGTTTGTTGGTCCTCTGTGTAATTATGTACATTGCGATATCATATAAAAAAAATTCAAACACATTTAAAATTCAGGGGCATTCGGGTGGCTCAGTGGTTGAACATCTGCCTTTGCCTCAGGATGTGGTCCCAGGGTCCTGGGATGGAGTCCCACCATTAGGCTCCTCGCTGGGAGCCTGCTTCTCCCTCTGCCTAAGTCTCTGCATCTCTTTCTCAGTGCCTCTCATGAATAAATAAATAAAAACCTTCATTTTTGTTGCCAATGGGAAAAAAAATTCAGTTTAAGTTACCATGAGGGGGTAGCCCAGGTGGCTCAGCAGTTTAGCACTGCCTTCTGCTCAGGGTGTGATCCTGGGGACCCAGGATCAAGTCCCGTGTCAGGCTCCCTGCATGGAGCCTGCTTTTCCCTCTGCCTGTGTCTCTGCCTCTCTCTCTCTGTCTCTCATGAATAAATAAATAAAATCTTAAAAAAAAAAAAAAAGTTACCATGGGATGTGGAGAAAATAACATTTCTTAGATGGTAAAATTTTGTCTTGGCAGAGCAGGGGAGAAGTGACAGGTGAAGAGTCACATCCGCACAGATGCACATCTATGATTCTCGATAGAAAATAAGTGCGAAATAGTAAATGGTTAGAGCGTGAAACCACAAACAGCCCATTTCCACAGTACCTTTTCCCAAAACTCATGCCGCAGTTATGATCCTATCTACATGACACATACTACAAATTAAAATAAATATCAGCAATTCCTTATTTTAGAATTTATTTACAGTTTATTTCGGTATTTAACTATATTGTAAACATATTTAATAAAAGGTGTTCAGCATGGACATCAAAATTATTATTTGGAAGTGCTACTTTCCCTATTATTTTTAACTCTACATCCACATATAGTTGATAATACTTATAAATTCCCCAGTTATAAATTCTCCCTTAAACAACAAAAACAAAATGGGTATTTTTCTTTTGGAGTCCTTATTTTCCTTCACCCTCATTACTACAGTTTTCCCATATCACCTTCCCTTCATGAAAACACTGCTTGCTGTATGTTCACATTAGCACACTTAAAATCACAACCTCAATCTTCAAAAAACACATCACGATTTAAATCTGATATAGAGATAAAGATCACAGGTTGCTCTTTTTTTTTTTATGAACAATTTCATTATCATAGGCCACTTTGGTTAGAAAGATACCATCACTGAAGTCAAGTACAACTAAACTTGACCTTCATCCTGTCATAATCAGATGACCCAACAAAGGTCCCTTCCAATACAACCAAAAACAGGAAAAGAGCAAAAACACAAAAAAATAAATTTGGCTGAACTCCAGTTTTCATCACTATCTAGTTAGACGGTTTTTTGACCCGTAATAATCTTTATTCCCTTGGAACTTTACCCTAGTAAGGGCCAGTGTCAGAATATCTTTTTTTTTTTCTTCTTTATTGCCAGAAATTTCTTGCCAATATTCTCTGCTCTATCATTTCCTTTCACAGCAATCTATATAGTAAGCATTCCTAGAAACAACATGGATATAACAGGCTGGGAATATTAAGAATGAAGACAACAAATTGAAATAAAAGAAGCTTCACATATGACTACCAAAAAACCCTGGGAACTGGTATGAGGCCCTTTTTTAGTGTTCGAAGCTATAGC